CCCCCCCCCCCCCCATTTTAAATAGAAAACAGACAAGTGTAGTATTTTTTTAATTACTCACTACATTCCCTGGAGTAAAGCTAAAAACGAGCTGGATTTATTTATTTATTTACTTACTTACTTATTTATTTTCATCATCAGCCTCCTGGAGAAGCTTTCTGATTGGTGTGTGGAGCCAATTCAGGACCCAGTGGGTCCTCCTGACAGTTTCCCTAAACTCTCAGGAAGATGGAAGGGAGCCAGTTCTTTATGCTGTGCCCTCGTTCCAGCAGCACAAAGACTTGCCGCCCTGAGGATGAGAACTTAGCAACCAGTCCCCGAAGGGAGCAATTTCTCAGCCACCAGGGGAAAGGGGAGAGCTAATAATCCCTTTTAAACAAACCCTTGTGAAGTCACTCCCCAGATAAGAGTGTCAGGCACCTCTAATATTCTCACCTGGTAGCTTAAAGACAAGCCGTTGACAAGTTTGTCACAGGGAGAACAAGGGAGAAAGGGGTGTTGCGGGCCAGAGAGGGGAAAGAGTGCTTCAAGTCCCCAAATGAGAAGAGTGTTAACATTTATAGAGATTATGCCACGGCTCAACTCTGGCAAATGGCACCTTGAGGCTGGCAGAGGAACACATTGTGCTTGTGTTTACACTTTTGCTCCCATGGCCAAGTGCTGTTTTATTTAGTTGCTGACACCGTTCGGAGGCACCGAAGGAATTAAGGAGTCCAAATAAAAGAACATCTAGGCGAGGATCACAACTGTCAACAGAAGCACAATCTACCATCTTGCGGGCCACTGTGAAACAGCAGCCGGTTGCCAGAGTCGAGCCATAACACTTACATCAATGTTTAGTTGTTTTACAACCGAGAACTATCCTATATTGTTGTCATGTGTTATAATGTCCCATTGCTTTTGTTGCCCCCAAGAACTAATCATGTTGTTCATTTCTCTTAGGACAAGACCAGCGCTCTGAGCCTGAGCAATGTGGCAGGCGTTTTCTATATACTTGTCGGAGGTCTGGGGCTGGCCATGATGGTGGCTTTGATAGAATTCTGTTACAAATCACGGGCAGAGTCCAAACGCATGAAACTCACAAAGAACACCCAAAACTTTAAGCCTGCTCCTGCCACCAACACTCAAAATTACGCTACATACAGAGAAGGCTACAACGTGTATGGAACAGAGAGTGTTAAGATCTAGGGGTACGGTCAAGGTCTAGTAAACTAATCAGCCTTACATGACTGTATGTGAATCTCTTTTTTCTTTCTTTGTGTTTTTTACTTCGGTTTATTGTTTCAAGTATTGTCCAGTCTTTGCAACCATTTGTTTCTTTGAAAACAATGGTTGTGCTTTCTCGTCGGGCAGTAGCGCTTTTCTAATAGCACCGTCGTAATTATACTGTGGCCTGCAACCCAAAAGGAAGAGAAATTCTCTAGAGCTGCGCTGTTCCGTGGAAATATTTGTGAGCTGCACATGTGAACCACAGGTGTAATCTGAAGCGCTCTAGTAGCTACACTTCTTTAAAGCAACACAAGTGAAATTAACTTAATGAGACATTGTATTTAACCCAATATACCCAAGATATCGTTCCAACATGTTATCGATATATAAAACGAATGAAAAATTTTACATTATTTTCTTCACCCTAAGTCTTGGAAATCTGGGGTACGTTTTATCCTCATGGCACATCTCAACGTGTCCTAGCCACCTATTGAGGGTTCGGTAGTCACATGTGGCTGCCGTTTTGGACAGCGCAGTTCTACAGAGAGCAGCCGTTCTGGAACTGATGGTAAAATGAGGAATGGAGGCAGGGCGTTGCCCCCTTCAGAAAGGCAGTGCTTCCATGGGGCACGGCGGTTCTCTTAAGTGTAAGCCTGAGACCATTTCTCGAATCTTTGAGTTCCTTTGTTGTCCGTTTCTTGGAAGCGATATTCAGGTAAGCGTCTCCCAAAGAACAGTTGAGGCTCCCTGCTGCTAGCTGCTCCAAATCCATACTTAGATAAACCTGACTGGTGCCACCTTGACTGGGAGCTACAGCCAACTCCCCAGCCTTCCTCTAACCAATAACTCAGACACGTGCAAAGGCAAGCTTGAAATAGAATGATCATCTATCTGTCCACTCTGGACGTGTTAAAAAGAATACAGTCTTGCTGTTATCTTCAAGTGCATCTGTCATCACCAACATGCCTCTCTGCAAGGAAAGAGAACAATTAGCAACTTCGTAGCCCTTACTTATTTCAGGTGGGAGATTTGTTACCCCACAAATCAACGACACCATGAATTTCCTGAATGTGCTTGAATTTCTACAAATGCAGTATTTGTATTTTTGGTCCCGTTGTATTTCACACCGTGGAGCTAAATTCAGCCAGTTTTTAAATAATATTTCATCCAAACAAATCCTGTGTCTTCACCACTGAAAGTATTATCTTGTTTGAGGAAGTTGCTGGTTGTCCTTTCCTGCTATAGACTGCAAGCCTGTGCCACAACATACCCAGTACACCGAGCTAACCCCCTGAGTGTTCCCAGCACATCGCTGATTGTACAGTACACAGGTTCGTCTGTAATTAGTGTTGTTTGCGTGCAAGTGTTTAATGTTCAGGGTGCTTAAAATATTTTACTCTTGAGTAGCTTCTATTGGTCCATTACAATTTGGGGCACATGATCTGCTTTTCCGTAGGGTAGTGCCGGGTGATTTCAGCTTACCTTAATTATCCCAAATTCTGAGATACTGGCATCCCAAAAAAAAAAAAAAAAAAAGAATACATCTGAAATCCTCATAACAGGTTTTCAAGTTTTTCACATCTATTGCCTCGTTTGAGGTAAGGGGTCGCAAAGTGTTTTCCCTTTCGTGGCAGTTCTGGAACTAGGGCCCAGACGCTCTTCCTCCTACAGTAGTCTCTTCGCAAATCCATTCTGCCTCTAACCACCGGCGGCCTGGTGGTTTCCAGGAACCTTGAAATTCCAATGGGATGCCATCAAACCGAAGGCAGATCCAAAGTCTGTGTCCCAGTTTTTTACAAAAAAGGCACACACCTCACTTCTTATGCATTCGACACAAGGTAGTATAGTCAATCTCTCCTACTTTCCCCACAAAGACTCTTTCTGAGACAGGATCAGGACTCAGGGTCACACAGCCTCCAACCCTCTCTATTAGCAGCCATTCCATCTGAGAATCCATGTTCTGCTGGACCACAATAGCCTCAATCTCTCACTCAAGCCCCAGAAGAGTGCCTCTTAAATGTCAGTGTGCCTTGTGAATCACCTGGAGAACTTATAAAAATGCGGATTCTGGGGCACCTGGGTGGCTCAGCCAGTTAAACGTCCAACTCTTGATCTCGGCTCAGGTCATAATCTTGCAGTTCGTGAGTTGGAGCCCCGCATCCGGCATCTGCGCTGACGGTGCGGAGCCTGCTTGAGACTCTGTCCCTCCTTCTCTCCGCCCCTCCCCTGCTTGTGCTTGCTCTCAATACGTAAACTTTAAAAAAATGCAGATTCTGATTCAGCAGGTCTGGGATGCTACCTGAGAGGCTACACTTCTCACAATCTCCCGGGCATTGTTGGTGCCGCTGGTCCAGGGAGCAGTAAGATTCTAGAGAAAACTGTCTCAGGGCATGTAATTTAAGGAAAGAAAGGAAAGAGGGAGGGAAGGACAGAGAGGAAAGAAAAGACAGAGAGAGAGAGAGAAAGGGAAAGAAAGAAACTTGGGGTCAGCAAACCTGTGGGCAGAATGTTGCAGTCCTGAAGTGAATGCCCTGAAGTGAAATTGCCACAACTTCTGACTTGCTCTCTTTTCTTTAGTCACCTTGGTTGTTGATCCATTTTCTGAAGCAAAATTCAGGCTACATGACACAAAACTCACATTTTAATAGACATCAGTGCCAGTGTGGTTACGGCCCAGTTAGCTAGTACCTTGGCAACTATCCCTAGGATGAAAAGAAAAGCTGAGAAAAGCCTCTACAAACAAGTCTGTCCTCTGAGCCTATGTGAAGTCCCCAGACAAGAAGGAGAAGCCTCACAGGATGCCAGAAGAATCCTTCCATGTGTCAGTCCAAGAGGCACAAAGCAAGCTGAGCAGGAAACAGAAACGTCTCTGCTGTCCTCAGCCAGTTTGGTAATGTAATGGTAGGGGAATGTTGGTTAAGTGAAGGGTGAGCCCTTTATCCATTCATCTTTTAATTCCCAGGAAGTTCTCTGAGTTGGCCTAGATCTGTCAAGGTCTATGCAGGGGCACAGAGATCAAGAGGCACCCTGAGATCTGACTTTTATTGCCAATTATCAGAGCCAGCCTTAGGAGTTAGGGGTGCCAGTAACTCTTGAGGAAACATGACCCCAGGGCAAATCACCTGCAAAAATATGATTGAGCTGAAACGTGGTTAATAAAAAACATCTTTGGGGTGCCTGGGTGGCTCAGTCAGGTAAGCGTCCGACTCTTGATTTCAGCTCAGGTCGTGCACTCACGGGTTCTGGCATTCGAGCCCCTTGTCGGGCTCTGCGCTCTGGCTCCCTCTCCCTCTGCCCCTCCCCCACTCGCACACCTGTGCTCTCACTCTCTCTCAAAAATAAATAAACTTAAAAGAAAAACCAAACACGTCCTTTGAAAGCAGAGTCATCTCTCCTTCTGTATGGGTGCGAATAGTCAGGATTATTGGACTTGTGGGAAGGCGTGCCTCAGCCTCAGAGCCAGCGCCCAGGAGGGAGCACACAGCCTCCCGACTGCCTGTTGCCTCTCTGAGTTACTGACCAACTCCCGGAAGCGTGGCCCCCAAAGCGTGCCTTGGCAGGTGACTCACTCACCGCACCCCAGGGTTGACTCTGCTAACTGTCTCAAGAGATTCTTCCCAATTTCCTCATTGCTGTCAAGAACTACTTCTAGCTTCTTTGGTTTCTTCAACAATGTTTTTGAAATGCTTCTCATTTTCAAGACCTCAAGCTGCCTGAAGTTAAAGACAAAGATTTCCATTTTTCCTCTACGATGCTTCTGCTTAGCCTTCCCAGAATATGTTAACTTTGTTCATACAACCCATTTTCAAAAGGATCAATTTTCCTTCTGCAGCCTACGCATAGGCTGGGGCTATAGTCCCCCAGACCATTTGCTGGGGAAAGTTTCCCACTTGAAGAGTTCATCTCAAGGTTACGTGGAAACCACGTTCTGGATAACTGAGGTGGTGATGTTCTTTGTTCCCAGAGGACTCTTCACGATGATACTTCATCGGTCCCCATTTAAAAGCAGGAAACAGAGGCAGTGACAGATGTAGGGGCTGTCCCAAAGTTATGCAGCTATGAAATGACATGCCATGGCCAATGGAGAGGGAGGATGGGACTCTGATCTTTCCGCTCTAGATACAAAAATTTCTCCAAGCTTCTGAGACAAATATGACTCTGGACTCTAGAGATTCCAAGGAAGAGGTTTACCTACTTCCATGTTATTCTCATTCTGTCCTCTTTGGGGGCTTTTGGCCTTCAGGTGCGTCTTTGACATTCTTCTTACAGATACTTGCCTTCCAGGGCCAGCGGTGGAATGTGACTATGTCATTCCCTTGGGCAAAGCTCATTGTTAGCTCAAGACAAAAAGAAGGGTTCCCTTCGTGTACAGGGAAAGGATGGAGAAGAGGCAGAAAAGTGAAGGCAGAAAAGCGCCCTTAAGTCTTCAGAGTCAGGGGCAAATGAATCCCCTGCACTAGTGAATGCCTCCTACAGGAAGGCAGCACCAGCATCCCAATCAGGTCCGTAATATCTGGGCAAAGACCCCACGGATGCCAGCCAAGCCCCTTCATGGGTATCACTGTTCTGGCCCCTTTCTGGAATGTGCTGTCTCTTTGAAGTCCGTGTGCTATTTTCAGATTTGAATAACTAAGGTTGTAGGTATTGAGAGAGCCAAGCTGTCACCTTTCTGGCAATGAACGGCACATTTCCTTCTCACAGTCAAATGGATTCCAGTCAAGCAAGCCACAGAACATTGTTTATCCTCTGTCTTAGGTAAACAGCCCTCTGTCATAGGGTCTGCAATCAGAATACACTCCGCGGGTTAGTTGTCCTGAATATCTACATATAAGTGCTCCTAAGGCTTTCTAGTATACCTGCATCCTAAGTGATCAGTGCCGTAAGTTAGACTTCATGTAACGTCTGTATATTCCTTAGTGCAATGCCCGGTGGAGAAGGAACGTAATTTAACCTATTGCAAAGCATTTGCATCAGGTCAA